CAATAGAGAGGGGAACGACACTTGCGACCGCAAAGTGCCTCGTAAGGAGCCATCTGAATAGAAGAATGATAGCTGTTGTTATACGCGAACTCGGCATACGGCAACAACGACTCCCACTTAGCACCCTTGTCAACAACCAAAGCGCGAAGCATATCCTCAAGCGTCTGAATAGTTCGCTCTGACTGACCGTCTGTCTCCGGATGGTAGGCTGAACTGAACTCAAGCTTCGTGCCCGTCGCCTCATGCAAACTGTGCCAGAATCGGCTGACGAATCTGGGATCTCTGTCTGATACGATAGTAACGGGCACTCCGTGGAGTCGGATGATCCCACGGGCATATATCTCAGCCAGCTTATCCAAAGACATCCTCATCGAAACGTGTAAGAAATGCGCAACCTTAGTCAATCTGTCGACCACGACCCAGATAGCGTCGTGATGTTCAGACGACCTCGGCAATCCCGTAACGAAATCCATCGTGACTTCCTCCCATTTCCACTTTGGAATCGGCAGTGGCTGCAGGAGGCCAATCGGACTCTGATGCTCGGCTTTAACTTGCTGACAGGTAAGACATCTCTTGACAAACTCGGCGACGTCCTTCTTCATGCCTCGCCACCAGAACGACCCTTTCAGGTCGTGATACATCTTCGTGCTCCCGGGATGGGCTATATAGGGTGCGGTATGAGCCTCTGATAAAATCTCCTTCCGCAACGCCTCGACCTTTGGGACCACGATCCTGCCCCTGAACTCTAGAGCACCATCGGCACCTAGCTGAAAACCCTCGACGCCTCCGACGCGAACCTTGGCCTCCATGACACGAACGAACTCGTCAGAAGCCTGTTCTCGCCGGATTCTCTCTCTCAGCGTCGGCTGAAGTTGCATGGCACTGACACTGGCACTAGTACTCCCCGAAACTGCTATGGGAAGTGCATCAATCGCCTGAAGCTGCATCCGGGCAAACTCTTGAATCAATGGACTCTGCTGAGTGATGACGTACGTCAAGTCACCCCTCACCTTTCGGCTTAGGGCATCAGCAACGACGTTCGCCTTCCCCGGATGATACTGAATCGAGCAGTCGTAATCCTTGACGAGTTCTAACCAACGGCGCTGTCTCATGTTGAGCTCCTTCTGAGTAAAGATATACTGCAGGCTCTTATGATCGGTGAAAATCTCACAATGACCGCCGTAAAGATAGTGTCGCCAAATCTTGAGAGCATGAACGACTGCTGCTAACTCCAAGTCGTGCGTCGGATAGTTCTGCTCATGAGGCTTAAGCTGACGCGAAGCACACGCAACAACCTGGCCGTCCTGCATAAGGACACATCCCAAACCCTGCCTCGAAGCATCGCTGAAGATAGTGAAACTCCGAGAAGGATCGGGAATAGTCAACACCGGTGCTGAAGTTAATCTCCTCTTGAGCTCCTGAAAGCTCGACTCATATCGGTCAGTCCACTCGACTTCACAGACTTCCTCGTCAGCTGGGATAGAGGGAGGGCGATCTTGGAAAAGCCCTCGATGAACCTGCGATAGTATCTAGCTAGACCGAGAAAACTGCGAACCTCGGACGGACTCCTCGGTGTCGACCAGTTCTGAACAGCTGAGACCTTGGAAGGATCCACCTCGATACCTGCCTGAGTAATCACATGACCCAGAAAGGATACTCGCTGGAGCCAGAACTCGCATTTGGAGAATTTTGCAAACAACTTTTCTCGTCTGAGAGTTTCAAGAACCACCCTCAGATGCTCCTCGTGCTCCTTCTGGCTCTTCGAGTAGATAAGAATATCGTCAATGAAGACAATAACAAACTGATCGAGGTAGGAATGGAAGATACGGTTCATGAGGTCCATGAAAACTGCTGGCGCATTGCTGAGACCGAATGGCATGACGACGAACTCGTAATGGCCGTAACGAGTCCTGAAAGCGGTCTTAGCGATATCTGACTCCTTAATCTTCAGCTGGTGGTAGCCTGATCGCAAATCAATCTTTGAGAACACACAGGCTCCCCTCAGCTGATCAAATAAGTCGTCGATCCTGGGAAGCGGGTACTTGTTCTTGATCGTCTACCGGTTAAGATCCCAGTAGTCGATACACATGCGCATGGATCCGTCCTTCTTCTTAACAAAGAGAACGGGTGCTCCCCAAGGTGACACACTCGGTCGGATGAAGCCGAGTCGTAACAGCTCCTGAATCTGCTCCTTAAGCTCCTGCAACTCCTTTGGCGCCATACGGTACGGGGCTTTGGATACTGGACCGGCCCCTGGAATAAGGTCTATAGAGAACTCCACCTGTCGATTAGGCAGTCCTCCTAGAAGCTCGTCTGGGAATACGTCCACAAACTCTCGAACGACTGGAACATCGTGAGGTGAACGTGCTTTCTGAGAATCATCAACAAGGCTCACCAGATAACCCTGGTAGTTGCCTCGTCGCAGCAATTTAGTGGCATTCGCCATCGAAACAACATGAGGCAAAGGACGATTTCTGGAGCCGAAGAAAGTAATCGACTCATCTTTAGGAAGATAAAGAGTAATCTCCCGGTCGTGACATTTGATATCCGCATGATAAAAGGATAGCCAATCCATTCCGAGAATAAGGTCGAAGTCCTTCATCTCGAGAACAAAAGCGTCGGTAGGCAAAACTCGGCCACCGATGGAAAGGCTAAGATCTGAGGCTTTAGTTGAAGTCACAATCTTTCGTCCCGAGGCCAAACTCACCTCGAGAGGGTCGATAGCGGTAGTGGTGTGAACTCCGATGGCGTCAAGACATCGTCGTGAAATGAAAGTATGTGTCGCTCCAGTATCGAATAATGCAAACACAGGAACATTATTAAGAACAACCATTCCGGACATGGTACCTGGCTGCTGCTCAGCCTCTGCCTGATCGACGGTGTAAACTCGGGCCTGCTGTCTGCCCCTCTGCTGCTGCTGCTGATGCTGAGGCTGCCTCTGTGCCTGCTGACGGGGCTGCTGCTGCTGCGGTGGCTGCTGAGGCTGCTGTGCCTTCTTCGGACAACGGTTCGCGAAGTGTCCGGGCTCGTGACAATAGTAGCACACATCCTGACCAAAGTGACACTCGCCTCGGTGAAGTCGTCCGCATGTCGGGCACTGGGGAATCTGCTGTAGCCTACGTCGGGTCCTCTTATCTGCCGGGGCACCTTTCCCCTTCCTCTTGTTGTTCTTTGGCGGCTGGGTGGATGGTAAAGCTGGCAACGGTGGAACTGAAGACGACTGGGCAGGGGCGGATGGCTGGAACTGCTCACGAACGGCGTCCCTCCTAATGCTGGCATCCACCTCCTGGGCAATGGAGACTGCACGTGCGTACGTCTGTGTCCCGTGGCCTACGATGTTGTGACGGACTGCTGGGTAAAGCCCGTCAATGAAACGCTGCGCTCGCTGGGCCTCCGTGCGGACCAAATCAGGAACAAAAGCTGTAAGTCTCATGAATTCCCTCTCGTACTCGTCAACAGTACGAGTACCCTGCTGGAGCGATAGAAACTGACGCTCCATCTCGGCTCGGTAGTATGTGGGGTAGTACTTCTCGCGGATTAAATCCTTGAACATCTCCCACGTACATCCGGCCTTCTCGCCGGGACGCATGCTCCAGTAAGCGTTCCACCAGAGCCTGGCATCACCGGTGAGCTGAAGCTGAGCGCAAATGACGCGATATCTCTCAGGGCACTCCATGACCTCGAAGATAAACTCCAAGCCCTGAATCCACTCGTCAACTATGCGAGGATCTCCCTGCCGTGAGAACTTTTCGGCACGATAGTCGCGGAACTGCGCGACCACTGTAGCCTGAGTAGGAGCCGGATGATCGGGTTCCCTACGTGGCGGCATCTGAACATTGAGAAAGTTCACAATTATTGAACACATGATGATATTCTGACTGATTACTGAGGCACACAAATCTCTTGACGAGTAGCCAAAAATGGCCGATAATTACTGACGTGAAACCTGAGGAACTCTAGAGTCATATCGAAAGATACTAAAGTCTAGAGTCATGCCTGAATATACTGATTTCTAAAGTCAAGTCTGAATGTACTGAATTCTAGAGTTATATCTGAACTCTTAAAGTCTGAATCTGAATTGAGCATCTTAACTAAATCTGATTACTGATTTCTGAGCATAGATAAAGTAATATGTTTATAACTGAAAACTGAATCAGCACTTACCTGGAGTCGGCGAGGCGTGAGCGTGACGGTTCAGGTTTTTCTGAAAATTACTGACTGAAAAACTTTTCAGAGACGCAGAAACGTGCTCTGATACCAATTGTAACACCCCGACTTTTTACTACTATCAGAGTACGTGATTTTTCGCAATTTTCTGAATAAATAAATAAAATACTTATTTTGCGAAAACTGATTCGGGATGCTACCGTGAAAACTTGATTTTCTGAAAATCGTTAAAATTTTAAACTGATAAATAAAAACGGTTATAATGTCTTAACCGACTAACGTCGGAACAAAAACTGATAATAAGTACTGAAAGTTTTAGCAGAAATCAAGCGTGGCAAAAACATATATACATATAATCATAAATGTCCTGAGCAGCC